AAAAAACAGATACTGATATTAGATACACCACATTTTCCCGAAAATAAGACCCTGTCTTAAAAAAATTTCCCACCAAAAAAGGCACCAGGTCTTATTTTCGGGGGATGTCATGCACTGACTAACCTCACTTGTGCATGTTGCCGCCAGCCTCCTCTTCGCTGTCAGAGGCCTTCAGGATCGAACCAGAGCTTTGTTATCAGCTACAGAGGCCTTCAGGAAAGGTCTTGCCAGATGCAGAAGAAATGGGCTGGCAAGGCAGGTGTTGGGGTGTGTGAGGCCTGGCTACAACTGTCCAAAGGTAAGTAGTAGGGCAGCTCCATCCCCACACTAGCTTAATTTTTACCCGTCCACTCTGGAGTGGGCGGGATCTTAATAGGGCTTATTTGGGGGGTAGGACTTATAATGGGTGCATGTTTAAAAATCAAGCTAGGGCTTACCCTCATGGTGGGTCATATTTTTGGGGAAACAGGGTAAATATTGATGATACATGATAGATTCAGATATATTCATCCTCTGTATGTATGTGTATATCTTCATTACATATTCAACCTCTGTAAATTACTATCAGATACTGACCAATGCCTGTTTTAACTATTACACCCAGGCACATATACATGTACACATACACACACACACACACACACACATATATATATATACATATGCACACACATACACACACGTACTTTAAGTAATATGTCATACTATATTATTTCTGCCTGAGCATGAAAATAGATTTGAGTTCTTCAGGAAGGAAACATGCTCCAGTGACTGGTGGAAAGTTTATTCTCTAAAGTGAGTCAATCAGGAAGGACAAAATTGTCTCTTTAATGTAACGCACCCTTGAGTCCATAATTGTAATTGGCTGATTGATGATAGTCACATCAATTAGCTGGCAAGTAAGCACTATCAAAGAGAAACTGTTCTTTTCAAAAGTGAAAAGTGAAATGATCTGGGGAGCTTTCGTGAGGGGGGATAGTATTTATCTCAAAGATTTATTTCTTAATTGAGAAGATGGTGAGCCAGATAGATGCAGATAGTCCTTGACTTATGACCACAATTGAGCCTAAATTTCTGTTTTGTTTTTGTGATGTTTTTTACCACCTTTCTTGCTTGCCTCAGGTCTTAAGTTGATAAGTTAGTAACCCGGTTGTTAAGTGAATCTGGCTTCCCCATTGACTTTGCTTGTCAGAAGGTCGCAAAAGGGGATCACATGATCCTGGGACACAGCAACGGTCATAAATGTGAGTTAGTTGTCAAGCATCCAAATGTAAATCACATGGTTATGGGGCGGCTGCAATGCTTGTAAGTGTGAGAAATGGCCACTTTTTCCCAGTGCCGCTGTAACTTTGAATTGTCACTAAATGAACTGTTGCAAGGACAGTTGAGGACAACCTGTAATTTCAGGGAAGGTCAGAAAAGGTCATCATATGACATTGGGACACAACAATGGTCATAAAAACGAACCAGCGACCAAGCATCTGAATTTTGATCACATGACCTTAGGGATGCTGCAAAGGTCATAACTGTGAAAAATGGTCATAAGTCCCTTTTTCAGTGCTGTTGTAAGTTTGAATGGTCACTAAATGAACAAGTTGAGGACAACCTGTATATGTTATTGGCTTCTTCAGCAAAAAGAAAGAAAGAAAGAAAGAAAGAAAGAAAGAAAGAAAGAAAGAAAAGCAAAATAGATTTGGAGAATCGTCATTTATGCTTTGCAGGCAGCAATGGTGGTTGTAAATTCAGGCTTTGCCAACTATTCCAGCAGAAGTGTCTTCTGTATACACTCAGAAGACTGGGAAACAGTGTCCAAGGGCCCCTACCATTTCCTTGAGTTATAGGTCTGTATAACAAAGCAATAAGTCAAGAAAGAAGCCTTCCAAACCCATCACCAGCTTCATTCACTCTTGGAGAAGCAGCCATTTTGATTACATGTATGATCCATGCACTGGGCCCAGAGCAGTGCTGGTATTCGACCGGTTCGGCCTGGTTCTAGAGAACCGGTAGCAGCAATGAGCAGCGGAGATCGAACCAGTTCTCTCTGCCGCTTTGCTGTTGGGCCCACCCACCCACCTGGGCTCCCATGCTCACTTTTATCTGCTGAATTTGAAGCGCAGCTGCTTTGTGTGGCACAGAAAAGCGCTGTGCGGCAGCTGCTGAAACAATCGGGATCGTGCAGTCTTGCAGGAGGTGAGTTTGAACGCCTCTGCACCTGCACAAAATGTGCATTTTGCACATGAGTGCATGCAAAATGTGCACATGCACGCAAAGCGCGTCCACTGAGCTGGTAGCAAAAATATTTGAATCCCACCACTGGACCAGAGGTGGTATTCAGCAGGTTCTGACTGGTTCTGGAGAACCTGTGGAGGAACTTTTGAGTAGTTTGGAGAACCAGCCAATCCCACCTCTGACTGGAGATTTTACAGTATCCTTCCCCTGTCACGCCCATGAAGCCACGCCCACAGAACCAGTAGTAAAAAAATTTGAATCCCACCACTGACTGTGACCAAAACTCAACCCTCTATTTATTATACCAAAGAGTCACTAATGCTATCTATTGATTTCCATCTCAATGCAAGAAACTGTTGTCTTTGGGTAGAGTACATGAAGCTCTGGACTTTATGAAGGCATCGGAGTCAGCATCTTCTGGAAGCATCCAGCCCTTAGGTGTGTCTTCCCCAGGCAGCTGAGCATTTTGCTACACTACATTTAACTGTGTAGACTCTATTCTGTTAGCAAAAACAGCCTCATCAATCAGCCAGACTTCCACCACAGATCAACCTGATGCAGAGTTGCGTGGCACAAAAGCAAACAGGGTGAAGTTATCTGATAAAGTGTCCCAAAGGTCAGGGATTGGTTAGAGGGGAAATGGGGCCCATAATGACTTCTCTGACAGATATCTAGCCAATGACTGAAGAATATTGACCAAATTGCTGTTTAACTTCCTTTATCTACAGCTGTTGTTTGCCTTCCCGCTAAGTGGCTCTCCTCACCACAACTCCTTCCTCCAATGACGTTTATTCATTTGCTGATGGCTGGTAACTTTAAGTGCCTCTAAAATGGGTTGATGAAGGATGTTTTCCCAGGGAGAGGGTATAAGAATTACTTACAAAGTAATCCCATTTGCATGCGCCGCATTTGACAAGGAAACAGGGACCAACTCTACCTTCATTCTTCAAATTATAATTTTCTCTGGTACTTAATAAATTGGCTCAGAGGTGGTATTCAGCAGGTTCTGACCAGTTCTGGAGAAGCGGTAGAGGAAATTTTGAGTAGTTCGGAGAGGGAAATATTACCTGTGGTTGGCCCCGCCCCAATCTATTTGCTGCCTCCTGAGTACCAGCTGGTTTTCATTTGTTGCCCTGCACAGGAGAATGGAGCTGGAAAGCAGGTTAGTGGGGTGGGATTTTGCATAACCTTCCTCCAGGAGTGGGATGGGAATGGGGATTTTACAGTATCCTTCCCCTGCCACGCCCACCAAGCCACGCCCACAGAACCGGTAGTTAAAAAAAAAAAATTGAATCCCATCACTGAATTGGCTGAAGGGGAAGCAGATGTCCAAATTGGCATAGATTACCTGGATTATAGCATTACAACATGGGTATATGGATTCTTGTTTTCCTTAACAAAACCCCGTACCCAGCAAGGAGAAGAAAAAAAAAATCTCCAGCCCAGCATATTCTCTTCTGTTCTAAATTTCTAGCAGCAAGTTGATTTTTATGGAAGGGAGTCCTTAGTCATGGGAAATACATTCTGCCATTCATAGGAAAATGAATCTTATAAGAGATTATATCCAGAGCCTCCCTGGAAGAACATCAGGCAAGGGGAAAACCAACAGGAGTCCATCTATTGTTCAGAAAGCCAATAACAACAACAAAAAACCCAACACATCTTGGGAACGAGGTAGAAAAACAGAAAGCTGTATCATCAGGGAAGTAAACCTTCTGAACATTGGAGTACAGCCCAGAATGAGCTTGTCTTTAAATGTATAAAAATGTGCCATCCAGAGGTGGGTATTCAGCAGGTTCTGACCTGTTCTGGAGAACCGGTAGTGAAAATTTTGAGTAGTTTAGAGAACCGGCAAATATCCCCTCTGACTGGCCCCGCCCCCATTTAGTCTCTGCCTCCTGAGTTCCAGCTGATTGGCTGGGTCTCTTTGTTGCCTTGCACAGGAGAACGGAGCTGGAAAGCAGGTTAGTGGGGTGGGGAGGGAATAGGACTTTGTAATAACCCTCCCCTAGGAATGGGGAGGGAATCGGGATTTTACAGTATCCTTCCCCTGCCACAACCACCAAGCCATGCTACACCCACCAGGTCATGCCATGCTCACCAAACCATGCCCACAGAACCGGTAGTAAGAAAATTTGAATTTCACCACTGGTGCCATCATACATTTTGGAATGACTTCATAAAAGATAACAGGTAGTCCTTGACTTACAATACCAATTGGGACCAAAAGTTCTATTGCTGACAAGGCAGTTTTTAAGTGAATCATACCCAATTTTATGAGCTTTTTTTTTTAACGACACACTAACAAAATGAGCTTAGTTTGCTCAAAACATTAAGCTACATCCAAAAAACAAAAAAACAAACCGCACAGCTACTTATCAAGCTGATACTGCTGGATTTAACATACCTGGCTAAATTTATCTAACTCTACTCTGAGAAGCACAGAAGGAAAACTATATATCTGGGATTATTGCTTAATTTATTTTGAAGAACTGATTGGTAATAGACCTTACATGGTTGGAACCGGTAAGCTAGAAGTAACTGTACCATGGCAGAAGATACAGTGCAAGACTATTTGATGGCACAGATAGCAAATTTGGGTTGTCTAGTTGAGAAGATCTCTGGCCTGAAAAAGTCCTATTTGTGGGAATTAAAAAACTAAACTGTATGAACAAGTCTATGGAGATTCTCAGTCATCCAAGTCATAGTTGTTCCAAAGGTGCTTTTTGAGCTGAAGAACCTTCTTGGATGAGAAGTGAAATATCTTCAAAGAAAAATAAGAAAGTCCAGTTGCCTCTTGAAAAAAAAAAGCACCTACAAGAGCAAGTTTGAGCCTCTCTGTAATAGTTTCTAAGGAGTGGATTGAATATCAGAAAGAGAAGAGCAAGCTTTAGCAGTCATGTAAACCAGTGAATTAGGTTTCTACATTGAAAGCTGACCATTATACCAGCCATAGAGCTTCTGTTGTTGACTTGGACACACAATATAAACATAAATACTGGCTTTATTAGCCCTTTATCCTACGTTATCTTTCTTCTTCTACCCGCAGAACTCTGCTATTCTTGGCTGTAAAAAGAAAACTTTTTAGACACACCCAATTCTAATCCCTTTCTACTCCCTAGCTGGAGAGTCCTGATCTTGGAACGCTTGAGTAGATCAGTGCTTCAGAGCTGCATACTGGATGCTGTCTTCTGATTCAGAATCTGTTTCTAAGTCTACGTTGGTGGGATGGGAGCGCGGTGCTAGGTTCACCAAGGAAGAATAGTGCAGTTCTTCTTCTTCTTCTTTCTTCACCACATTCTCATAATCCACCTTGGTGTCATTCTAAAACAGGAGGAGAAGGAACTTGTTTAGGTAAAGGATATTAGATTCAGGTGAACGTTATACAGGTAAGTCCTCGACTTACAGCCACAACTGAGCCCAAAATCTCTATCTTTAAGTGAGACATTTGTTAACTGAGTTGTGCCCCATTTTACAACCTCCCCTGCCACAGCTGTTAAGTGAATCACCGCAGTTGGTTACTTAGTCAGCCGGTTGTTAAGTGAATCAGTTCTTCCCCTCGACATTGCTTGTCAGAAGGTTGTAGAACGTGATTATGTGACCTTCAAATACAGCAGTGTTCATAAGTATGAACCAGTTGTCGGGCATCTGAATTTTGATCACACGTGTCAACTCGTAAAACATTCCTATGCCTGTTTTCAAGTTGCCATCAACAAGGGGGGTGGAATCTGAAGGAGCAGTATGGCAGTAAAACCAGAAGTACATTCCACCATTATCTTAAAAACATTGTAGCTAGGCAACTGGATCTTCCGTCCACGAAAATCCTTTATTGGAGAATGTGATTGATGACACCCGCCCCATGAACGTGCTTCATTGGAGAATCTGATTTATGAAACACCCGGGGGGGGGGGGGACAGGGTCACAGGTGAATGTGAATTATGTATGCCGGCGTGTTGCTCCTAATAAATCTTTTGAGTTTTTTAAAGCTTGGCTCGAGGGTCATGATTTAATTAGGGCTATCTCCAGAATCCTGATGACATGATCATGGGGAAGCTACAAAGGCCATAACTGTGAAAAGGAGTCCTAGGTCACTTTTTTTCAGTAATGTAAATTTGAATGGTCACTAAAGGAGTAAGTTGGGGATGACCTGTACTTAAATGTGAACAAAGTTCAGTCATCAGCACCTTTAAATGACCTGAGAATGACTCCACTCTGCAATTCTGGAGGCCATGATCTGTCAGTGTAGATCAGATTTTTTAAACTTGACCTAATGGATCAAGTGAAACTCACCTTTTGAATGTCACCTAATCAAAACTGAATTGAAGTCAAAGTATGTGTGCCAGAGTTTTCTTTGAGGTTTTTCAAATTCCCTTTCTGATTTCCCTCTTCTTCGTGAACAATTCTTCTTTATTTTTCTTTGTGTGGTAGGGTGTTTGTCAGCTTACTTGATGAAAAGGGGAGGAACACTGCCAACACTACTGTTTTCTATTTTCTAATAACAACTTTTTGTTATTCTGAAGCCTATTTAGATGTTCACGTTTCCTAAACTGCAAGAAAGCAACACTTAAACTGAAAAAAAAATCCCATACTCTCATGATTACAGATTTTAAAAATTCTATCAGCCCTCTCTCTGTCATCTCTTTAAAATGGCACTTTTAAAAAGGAAGAATTGCTTGCAAAAAGTGCATAGGCCGACACAAAAACATATATGAAAATGTGCGTGCCGATTGCCAGCAAAGATCTTTGCACACCTTTCATTTTTCAAATAAATCCACATGTTCGTGCAGAAATAGACTGAAGAAGATTTCGTGCCGGGAACATGGGCAATCAGCCCAAGCTGCCCATCCTTGTTCATGATTCAATTTCTGCTTTACATGTTGCTTTAAAAAGCTACAGGGACTTTATGAAAATAAAAGCTGGCAAGCCCAAGAGGGAAGCGCCTAAACAGCAAAAGCCCTTGGGACCACATCATATAGTAGAGAAACTCAGCCCAGAAAAAGGGAAGCACGTGTTTGCTTTTTAAAGAAAAATAAATTGCTATTTCAAGGATGATCATTTCTCATGAATTGTACCAACAGCAACAAAAAAATCCTAAAAGAAGAAGCTGAATCAAAAGACCATGACTTTCTCGTAAACTGGATTTCAGATTTCATTATCTCAGGCCAGCACGTCTCCTGACAGGCTGCCTGGTGGTGATAGAAGTTGTAGTCCAAGCATGTAGTTCAAACATGTAGACCAATTCTCAAATACAGCTTATCTATCAGGAATCTGCACTGCATATCGGACATTAATACAATCAAGAGAGTCCAGAAATATTTCACGAGAGAGTCTCCTCTACTCACAACAGAATTCCCTATGCCTCCAGACTTGAAATTTTAGGCTAAGATAACTTAGAACTACGCCACCTTCGGTCTGACCTAAGCGTAGTACATAAAATTATCTATTGCAATGTCCTACCTGCCAATGACTACTTCAGCTTCAACCACATGAGCACACAATAGATACAAACTTCACAAAACTCGATTGCAGGAAATACAACTTCAGCAATAGAGTGGTCAATGCTTGGAACTCACTACCTGACTCTGTGGTTTCTTCCCCAAACCCCAAAAACTTTAAACTTAGACTGTCTACTGTTGGCCTCACCCCTTTCCTAAGAGGTCAGCAAGGAGCGTGCATAAGTGCACCTACATGCCTACTGTCCCTGTCTTAATGTTCCCTTTTATTTGTATCTATTTCATGTATTAATAATCATGTTTATACTTATATATATTATCAAATGCATGCTTGACAAGTACATTTTTTAAAAGATCTGGTGAGGGTCATATCTAGTGGCTCTCTATATATATACTTGGTCTTTGAATAGAAAATCAGTAAAAAATAATATTGAGTATTATCACCAAAAATGACATTAAGGAATGGCATCACTTTGTAGGAGACTTATAGCATCTCTATGATCTACTCAAACTTTCTATCTCTGATATGGAATGAAAACAGGACAGGAAAAGGAACTTCTTCCCTCCCCAAATGGAGGCCTTCCAGATGTGCTGGTTGAACCTTCTGAGATCTGCAGCCCCAGCAATACCTGAGATACAGAGGGTCAGGAATGTCCCTGGTTTATAACTCACAGGGATCCAGCTCGAACAGGACATGTACCTTGGGCTGGAATGCAGGTTTCTTTACTACACTGTAGATCACGCTGTTCTCTGAGGAATCGAGTCCCACGTTTGGTTGCATGACACTGTAATCAAAAAGACATTAACTGCGTGAGATTATTTGATGACCTGACTTTCTGTTGCACCATTTGTCTGCTATCATTTGTTTCTTCTCTTCAAAATAACTTTTTACATACATACATACATACATACCAACCAGTGATGGGATTCACAAAATTTTACTACTGGTTCTGTGGGCGTGGCTTGGTGGGCATGGCAGGGGAAGGTTACTGCAAAATCCCATTCCCTCCCCACCCCACTAACCTGCTTTCCAGCTCCACTCTCCTTTGCAGGGCAACCAAAGGAGACTCAGCTGCTCAGCTGGGACTCGGGAGCAGAGAATAGATGGGGGTGGGTCCAGTCAGAGGTGGTATTTGCTGGTTCTCAAAATTTCCACTACTGGTTTTCCAGAACTGGTCAGAACCTGCTGAATACCACCTCTGATACACACATACACACATACTAGAATAAAATATGGAAAAGAAAAGCTCCTAGGATATTGTAATAGAAGACAAATTTGTGCCTCTAGTTGACTTCTACTTTGCATGTTTTTGTACACCATCACCTAGATTTCTTTTTCTTTTTTTACTTAGGATCCACAGGAACTTCGCTATCCTTCTTCATAGACTGGAACTGAACTGACTTTGGAGCAGATACACAGAAAAATATGGCTATGATTTCAAAGATAGACCTCCTGCATGGAATTTCAGCAAACAAGGAGACGATAATTTGCTGTTTTGTATATTTAGTCAGCCTCATGAATCACAACTGACCATCTTCAAACTGATATAATGTAGCATCCTGTGGAAGTAAATTACTCTACCTTTGCAAAGTGACCTCAGTTGATCACTTTGGACTGAGATGCTCCAAAGTACTTCCACTAAGTAAAAGGAAACACACACTACTCATTCCACTGGTTAAAGGAGCACTGGTTAAATGCCCTACCTGAATCTGTTGTTACAGCCTCAACCCCTCACAGCTTCAACCTCAAACTGTCTACCATTGACCTCACCCCATTCTTAAGAGGTCCTTAAAGAGGACATGCATAAGAGCACCAGCGTGCCTACCGTCCCTGTCCTACTGTCCCTGTTTATCTGCATTTACTCCCTTTGTTCATGCTTATGTTCATACTTATACGTGTTACCTTGTACATGTTTGACAAACAAACAAATAAATAAATAAATAAAGTATTGGGCATTTGATAAAGGACTTCTGAGATAAGTTATACTTCAGCCTTCACTGAATCCAAACAGCCCCTTCTAAGATCTGAAGATCTCTAATCTAAAGGACTTTATCTTGACCTCTGCATTGAACCAGGATTAACACCAAGGCCAGGCCCTGGGGCATCAGTTGGGACAGGGGCATTGTCAATCCATGTAAGCTCCTGATCTTGTGACTGTTCGTTTTTCTCCTTCTTGCTCTTCACGTTCTCTCTCCAAGTGAGAAAGCAGAAGCTCGGCTTGTCCATCTTCTCCGTCTCCCAGAAGATGCTGGCGATCCAAAGGGAATGGCAAATAGATGGACTGTGGGAACCGGGATGAGGAGGAAGCAGTAGGCATAGTAATGGAAGGGGTAGCATGTATCAAGAATCTTCTACAAACTGAAGCTAGCTGGTGGTTTCTTAGGTCCTTCATCGCTTCATCATCATACCTGGAATAAATAGTATGGTTATGTAACCCACTGTGGGGGAACTGGAGCCTTGCATATGAAATGGTGCCATCTTGCTCCTCGTTCTGGTAGTCTGGGGAGCAGTCTCTTCTACATTCATTTAGTCTGGAGTTGTTATTAGGTGGTACTTCTCGGTTGGCCTAAGGGAAAGAAAAAAAAATCTCAATATTCTAGCCAGGGAAGACTTACTACCCCTCCAATTTCATAACTGCAGTAAAGAGGAAGAATTTGATCAGTGCAGCTTGTCGGAAAATGAAAATCTGGATGCTGGCCAGATTGTATCCATTTAAGGATATGAGAAAGAGTCACCCGCAATCTCCAAGCTAGGAACCACTATGCATTCTTTCTTCCTCCCTCCCTCCTTCCTCCTCCTCTTCTTCCTTCCCCTTCCCTTCCCTTTTTCCTCCCTGTTTCTTTCCTACCCAAGTATGGCAAGTTACAAGGACTTCATCTTCCACTACACCTCGTTCTCAGTCAATAAATAGAGGAGAAGTATTATAGGCTAAGGAACACGGTGGCTCAGTGGCTAAAACACTGAGCTTGTCAATCAGTAAGGTCAACAGTTTAGCGGTAATGGAGTGAGCTCCCATTCCTTGTCCCAGCTTCTGCCGACGTAGCAGTTCGAAAGCATGTAAAAATGCAAGTAGAAAAATAGGGACCACTTTGATGTCTTTGGACGGCACTGGCTCTTCAGCTTTGTAACGGAGATGAGCACCATCCCCTAGAGCCGGAAACGATTAGCACATATGTGATTTGAAAGAAGGAGGACCATTAAGGGTATTAGAACTGGAAGCGAGCTAAAAGGCCTACAAATCCTCCTTAATGCCTTCTCCACCTCTACCGTACCATAGAAAACAATTGAAAGTGATTTTTAACCTTCCTCACAAAAAACGAGCCTCTGGCAGGCCTCTGTGCACTGTCAATGTCCGAACGTATTGTTTTCTTCCTGCAAGAGGAGAAACAGAGTTAGGTCACCTCCAAGTTAGACTGCAATAAAGGTTTGATTTGATTTTGATGGTACCTCACTTCTCATCAAGTGGCTTTCTTTTGAAGCGTCTCCCATCAGCCAATTATGGAGCAAAGAATCTTGAAAATAATTACTGAGCAAAAAAGTGACTTTCCCCACTATCCTTCTTATCTGCAGGGTACCCTACGCTATCAGTAGGATATTGACCATCATGTCTACTGTTGATCATTGCCTGCAGGCTATCGACTCTCACTTACCATTTCTTCAAGCCATAAAGCAGCAACCCCAGTAACATAATAAAGGCAAGAACCACACCAAGGCCAATCAAGATGTGTTTCATCACTGTAGCTCTGCTGACTGCACAGTACAAACGAAAAATGACAAAGATTAGTAGGCTGTCGATTTGATTTTGTGCCAGATTGAGTCCATGACCTTATTTGCTCATCCAACCTACGCTAATCAATGCCCCCATCATATTTCTATTGATATAGTTGGCATGCTCAGAGGTACCCAAAAGCGGTAAATGATAGAACGGCATTCAGCTACTGCCATTTATTTGCTTTTATTCTGGACATAGCTTTGCAGAGACTCAATTCTAAGTGTGGATAATACTAAAAAGAAAAGCTTTAAGCTTACATCTTATTTGCTCAACTCAACCAGACATAAAATTAATTGTTTTAATGTGCAATGTTCTCTGAATTCCTCTTGGCTTAATAATTCACACCTTCGTGTGCATGCACAAACACACATGAATAAATACATATAATTGGGACACATATAAATTGCACAGGAAAAGTTGGATATATTTGGGGAAGTTGTGTACAAAAATGTATACTAGTAATAGATCATACTATGGAAGCTGGTTTACTAAAAATCCATATATTAGGGAATGTTAGTGTGTGTGTGTGTGTGTGTGTGTGTGTGTGTGTGTGTGTAGGAGAGAAATACAGTTTGCAAAATAGATGAATTAAATTTCATCAAGGCAACTGGTTTTTCATTCAATTTTAGTTTTTATGTTTTCATTTTTGCTTTGTTTTTTAAGGAATAATCTATAAGTTTCTTCTGAGCTTTGAGCCATGGTGGCTCAGCGGTTAGAATGCACTACTGCCGGCTAATTCTGCTGATTGCCTGTTGCCAGCAGTTTGGTAGTTCAAGTTTCACCAGCTCAAGGTTGACTCAGCCTTTCATCTTTCTGAGGTTAGTAAAATGAGGACCCAGATTGTTGGAGGCAATAAAACTGACTCTGTAAAGGACTGTAGAGCAGCATATAAGTCTAAGTGCTATTGCTATTTGTCTCCTAAATCCAAGTATAAAAATAACAAATCCCACTCTGAAAACAGACTAAACTTCATAGATAATTCTTCAGTCATGAATTGCTCATCCAAAAAACTGTACTTTAAGATCAGCCAGTCTGATTTCCATCCTCATGAATCTCCAAGCCAACACGAATATTTTGGAGCTGCTCTCCAAAATATTTGCAGAACATGAAATTGCCTCATTCTGTTTGACTAGTTGTCTTTCCATTGCCCAGAATTTCTTAATCAAGGATGGTCATCTAGGAATTGTAACCATATTTTTCAAGGGAAATACTCACAGGATACACTAACGGTGATGAGCTGTGATTCCTTATTAGAGATAGTATTGAATGCTCTGCAGAGATAATCTCCTGAATGCTCAACCTTAATTTTCCTGATAATTAAGAATTTTGAATTCTCCATGGGGATTTCTTCTCCTTTCCAATACCACTTGTAAGTAGCTACTGATGGGTAAGCATCATTATCACATCTCAAATAGAGATCCATTCCTTCAGTCACAACTTTCTTGTCTGGAGTTAGATGAACATTACGAGGCCCATCTGTCAGAAAAAGAAAGAGTCACTCGTTTTAATCCAGCTTTTGTATATTTGATTCTCCGCATCTGCTACAAGACAAAGGAATTTATAAGGACTCAACAAGAGACATAGGTGGAGAAATAGTCTTCTATAGCCATTATATCTCAATCTTGGTAACTTCCTGATATTTCCACTTCTTGAATTATTAGCAGTGGTCATGTTGGTTGTGGAATTCTGGGAGTTGATATTACGGCTAAGTTCTGGAGAGAGTTCATATGGTCTATTGGGTCATCCCAGGGCCTTAGCTCAGCTTTCATCCGAGCACCAATGTGGGGGCAGAGAGACTGAACGCCACGTTAGAGCAATATGAGAGGCTATGTGAATTATCAGCGGTCCAATTAGGCGGACCTCCTGCCTTTCATGGAGGTTGAGTGCAATAATGATGTTCACAGTAGCACAGGATTAACCCCCTTCAAGGTAGTTCATGGTATGGACTTCATCCCAATGCCTGAGTATCTAAGGGATCCCTCCTCCTCAGTCAGCCTGACTGATTGGATATCAATGTTGAAAGCAACTTGGGAGAATGTTAAAAAAGTACTTAGTTAAAGCAACAGAGAACTATAAAAAACAGGCAGACAAACACCAAGCCCTGCAATGACTATTCCAGTTGCGGGGGGAAGACCTACCTCTCCACAAAATATCTGAGGCTAAAACTCCCTAGCAAGAAACTGGGGCCAAAGTTTATGGGACCATTCTTTGACATATATCTCAAAGTTATCAAGATTGTAAAAGGAGGATTGGAAGCAAAATGTAAATATTGTACCAATAATATAAATGTTAACGGTTTTGACTACATCTTTGGTATGTATGGCAAAGTAATGCCAAAATGGCTACTCTGTGTTTTGTATTTATAGTTGTAAACAATAAAAATATATATCAAGGATTTTTAAAATCCAAAAAAACATATTCCAAATGCAATAAAATACTTTCCATAAATCCTAAGCTAAACTAGTTTTCCAACCATAATATCATATACTTAAAAATCAACAGAATGTGAAACAGGAAAAAAGGTAAACCTGAAGTAAATAAAATAAAAAGTCTTAGCATGCAAATGTATTTCCCTAAAGTTTATATTCAAAAAGATACATAACGGTGAATATGTTTGTGAGCCAACTTAAAAATGAGTAAAACACTGGTGTAAATATGAATTTAAGAAGTGTATTCTGATCATACAGAGACCAGGATGCACAAATAACTATAAATTAGATCAGGTCACCTAAAAATATGACTAAAACTAAATCAAATAATAAAATATGGATCTGACATCTTATCAGAAATTTATTTCAGCGTATGTACTGATAGTTGGATGATATTGTACTTTTATATGACTATACATTAAAGTTATATTTACTTCTTTAAAAAAAGAAGTCACATAGCAATCACCTAAAAGCATCTGAAGACCATAGAAGCAAGAGAGGAAAGTAATCACATTTCACTGTTGTTTAGAATGACTGACAAGGGACTAATCAGACAACAAACATAATAGATCCTCCAGTTCTCCATTAAATATGTCTTGTCCATTTTTAAAATCACTTACGGGGTCAAGATCGCATCTGACAACAGTAAATTCCACTAGATTCCACTCAAATCATACCCAATATGGAAAACTACCCCATATTCTGTGAAATACAGATTTCATTTTCCAAAAGAGAAAGAAGAGTTCTATGATCCCTATGGTATGAGCACTATGCAGAGGTGATATTCAGCAGGTTCTGACCAGTTCTGGAGAACCGGTAGTAGAAATTTTGAGAACCAGCAAATATGACCTCTGACTGGAGATTTTACTGTATTCTTCCCCTGCCACTCCCACCAAGCCACGCCCACAGACCGGTAGTAAAAACATTTGAATCCCACCACTGGCACTATGGTAATGTCTGGACAACTCTTGCACTTTTCTGAACAAAATTTCAAATGTAGTTTCCCTTTGACTCTTTCCTAGGTCTGTGTCATGCCCCTGGTGGAGATTGACTCTGAGGGAGAGGAGGAACAGCTGACAGGGAGTGGAAGTGTGGCTCTGGAGATTGTGGAGGAGGCTGGGGAAGGGCAGATACCAGCTGGGCAGTCAGAGGAAGACCCAGGCCCATCCCCTCTTCCTCCTAGGACACACAGGGAGGAACAGAGAAGGGAACAATGTGGCTTATCAGAGAAGAAGTGGCCATGATCCCCCCTCATTGGCTGCAGCTAGGGGGAATAGTATAAAGGAAGGATGTTTAAAACACAGCGTTGCTAGAAGCAAAGCATGTTTTATTTCTGGCTGAGGTTTATCTTGGTTGTCATTCTTCCAAGGGACTGTGCCTTGCTATCTTCTTGAAGTTTGTAATTAATTATCCTGGTCTATCATGGAAATTCCTTCAGTGCGGTTTGTTTTGGTTTTTTATTTCTCCATTATCTGTTCTTTGAGTTTGGACTGTATTTCTTTCTTTTGGAAACTATTTTGGAAAGAGTTTAATCTCCAACTGTGAACAATTGAAAAGTGAGGCCAAGTTGGAGGCATTAAAGGAAATTTATTTACGTTTGGGAATTTATTACGTGTGTGCTGTTTCCCGGATCATCACAGTCTAAAAAATAGGGATTGGCCTAAGGTCACCCAGATGGCTTTGTGCCTAAAGCAGTAACCAAAAATTAAGCTTGAGTCAACAACGATTGTACCTAGAAGAGAAAGCCCATTGAACACAGCAAGAATATCATGACTATACACTGAATCTGTACTCACAATTCACTTCCAGCTCAATAGTTGGAGACTCTGCCTTTGTTATGTTGTTTTTTGATACACAACGGTAGATGCCAGAATTCGTTGAACTGGCATTCTGGATGAATAGAACATTTTCTGCAGAGTTCAGTGACAGAAGTTGCCCATTTTTATACCAGGTGTAACTGAGTTGCTTGGGGTTGGCCATTCCCACACTACAAATCAGGTGAACAGGATTACCTTCAAGGACCAACCCTGAAGGTTTTCGATTGAGCTTGACATCTTTGGGGCCATCTGTAGGACAAAAGGAGAAATGCAAGCACAGAGAGTGATATCCTATTACTCTTGAACATATGCTCAGAGTGACCAACATTGTGGGCATACATTAGCTACACTGAACAACTCAACTAATAGCATCCACTTTCCTTTTTGAACCCAAAGCTATATATTCTTTAATTAAATCATTCTCAACTTTTCACCTACCCCCAAACTACTCTAAAACATTTTTTTTACTCAGTTTGCTTGTACAAACCATAGGCAGCAATGCCCCACAATGATTTGATTATGTATGTCCAGAGCTTTGTCAATATGAGGTTGTGGTTTAAATACTGAACTTGGACTAGGAGATGTAGCTTCAAGTATATCTTCAGTTACAGATGCTAATTGAGTGACTTTAGGCAATCATTTTCCCAGGGCTTTTACTATGGAGAAAAATAAAGGTGAGAGTGCACTTGGGGTTCCTTGAAGTAAGGCAGGTTTATGATTCTATCAAAGAATAGAATAGAATAGAATAGAATAGAATAGAATAGAATAGAATAGAATGATAATTGAATAGAAGAATAGAAGAGAGAAGAGAAGAAGAGAATAGAATGGAATGGAATGGAAGAAAAGAGAAGAGAAGAGAGAATAGAGAATAGAAAAAGAGTAGAGTAGAGTAGAGTAGAGTAGAGTAGAGTAGAACAGAACAGAACAGAACAGAAATGAATTCTTTATTGGCCAAGAAAATTGTCTCCAGTGCATAAGCCCTAGTCTCACTGTACATACAAGCAATAAGTAATAAATCATGGTTCATGGTCATTATAAAAATACGTTCATCATAAATCATAAGATACAACACTTAGTGATAGTCATAGGATACTAGATAAGCAATAAATCATACTAGGGTACTAAACAAAACAATGTAATCATTAGATACAAACAACAAAGTTAGAGTCATAAGAAGATAAGGAGATAGGAAAGATGAGAAGAATAATGAAGGAATAACATAAAGGCAGGGTGCCCATAGCAAGATCTTCTGCTATATCTCCATCAAAACACCTTCCAAAATTGCAACTGAAATTCTAATTCTAACACACCGAAAAGGAGAAGTTTTGAGCATATGAATATATCCATTTTACCATTTAAATTTAAATTCTGTCAAAAGTTGATTCATTAATCTATCACTTGCACCCTTTTTTTGTGCTCCTTCACTCAAAATTGTGCTCCTTCACTCTAACCTGAAAGATGTATAACTTGAGTTTCTAAAATGATGTATTCCATGTTCAATTTCTTATACTTGCTATATCCAAGACTTGAATGGCAATGCTCTTGTGCAGGGATGTCAAACTCAAGGCCCAGGGGCCAGATGTGGCCCATGGGATGCTCAGATCTGGCCCACGAAGCCAGCCTGGAAGCATCGAAGGACCAGAGAGGGCCATGAGCTCCATTTTCGCTGGCAGAGGGTTGCAGGAGGCCATCACAGCCAAAAACAGAAGTTGGGAGCCCATTTTCTCTGGTAGAGCACTCATGCCCCAGAGGTGCCCCCAACATGAGTGACGTTGAGCTGGCCACGGCCACTCTGCCCCCACCCTCAAGATCAAACACAACCCTGATGGGGCACTCAATGAAATAGGGTTTGACCCCCCTACTCTTGTGGGTCTCCCCAGGAACAATTTAGCTGCTTAAAGGCTTCCAGCTCATCATATAGTTATTCTTACTTACAAAGGATATCCAAAGTGATGGTTGGGGAGAAAGTGCAGCCAACACTGTTACATGCTTCGCATCTGTAAGAATTGATTGGTGCAGGAATTGCAACGAATGTCAGTGTCGAGCCCCAACTTCTGGGTATATCACTTGATCCAAAAATTTTGTAATTGTTGTTGCTGGGGTAACTACTGCCCACAGAGCAGTTCAAAATGACTTTGTCACCTTCTTTGATAGGCAAATGATTTGAATGAAAAAGTTGGACATCCTTGGGGCAATCTGCAAAACAAAATCAATGTTTGTTTGTTTTTTAATTCAGTAGATAAATTATAGAGTTCTCTGGGTTTTGAAAAAGGTTCTTTGCAGTGAAAATTCAGAGTTCTCTGCAGAGCATCTCTGCAAAGTTGTACCCCACTTTTAATTAGCAGAGGCACTGAGACAGGTTGGTAGTAGCAATCCAGCAACACTTATTTACTTCTTTGCTGAAATGGTACAGCGTGCAATGTGCTACAGCCCACAAAAGATTGAAGTGCTGCGAATTGTGAGAAAATGTCAACAATCCCAGTTGTGTCCCATTGATCCCCAATAAAAAGTACATATGAACAGTTGTTCCGGATGTAGCCAGCTTATAATTAGAGCTACTTCAGAAGGTTATATTTTGTTGTCATTGTTAGATTGGGAAGACAAATTTTATTATTTGAGGGAACTGTGAGTTTCATTTCCACGATATTAATATTGAAGAAAGATTATTCCATGACTGTGATAATTTTAGAATGAAAAATTTGCCATCAATTCAACTGCAACGGAATCTAGAAATCTGTATTTTTACCCTTCCATATAATGGCCTCCAAAGCAGAGTTGGTGCTGGCCCCACCCCTGCCTGGCCTAGTGAAGGGGGAAAATGTTCCTATGGTGGTATTCAGCAGGTTCTGACCAGTTCTCAAGGACTGGTAGCAGAAATTTGGAGTAGTTCAGAGAACCGGTAAATAACACCTCTGACTGGCCCCGCCCCCATCTATTCTCCGCCTCCCGAGTCCCAGCTGATCGGCTGGATCTTCTTTGGTTGCCCTGCTCAGGAGAACAGAGCTGGAAAGCAGATTAGTGGGGTGGGGAGGGAATGGAGATTTTGCAGTATTCTTCCCCTGCCATGCCCAACAAGCTATGGCACGTCCACCAAGCCACGCCCACAGAACTGGTAGTAAAAAAGTTTGAATCCCACCACTGCAAGTCCAAAGGACATTATATGGGCCTCAGGTCTGTTTTTCTGAAGTGCTCTATGGGGGGAGAGGAGATATAAGACTGGGACTGTGCAGCGCTTAATCTCCGAGCTCTTTGGAGCTTGAATGTAGCAGCTTCCCACCGTGGTTTAAAACAACTGTGTCTTTTTCTCAACATCCCCAGCAACACTGGAGAGTGGACTAGAAAGAATCTCCTGTTAATCTATAAGTAATATACAGCCATGTGGTTTCAACAGCCTGCTGTTTTTTTAAATACAAATTCCAGTGCTAGGATCTGTTTCTACTTACAATGAACATTCAGTGTGACAGAGGCATTTGAATGGCCAATCATGTTGTGGGCCACACAAAAATAGGTATCAGAATCCCTGGGTTGAATTGCCTCAAATCGCAGTTCCCGTCCAGCCATGATAATATCAGGTGTGCTGCTTTTGTACCATTTATAACCACTGATGGGAGGGTTGCCAGTGGCTGAACATGTCAAAACCACATTGTCCTTTTCTTGGATGAGTGATTGTGGCTTTATAATGTTGACTTTTGGTAGATCTGGGGGATCGAAAACAAAATTGATTTCAGGGTTTTTTTTTAAGGCAGATGTTTGGCAATTTCTTCCTCCTGAAGGGGCAACAGAATAAATCAATTTGATGTGGGTAAGAAGATTATAACAAAACTGAGTATTGTAACTGTGCCTGTTTTTGTTGTGTCATCTCTCTCTCTCTCTCTCACACACACACATACACACACACACACACACACAGAGAGAGAGAGAGAGAGAGAGAGAGAGAGAGAGAGAGAGATTTTATTTTGAGGTGGTCATTAAACAAACACCAAGGCTGTTAAGCAAAACCATTGTTTCGTATCAGCATTTTTTGCCAGAAACCATGAAATTTGGTTTCTGGAAAAATAGCAATAGCATTTATATATCATTTCACAATGCTTCACAGCCCTCTCTAACCTGTTTGCAAAGTCAGCCTATCGCCCCCAACAATCTGGATCCTCATTTTACCAACCTCAGAAGGATGGAAGGCTGAGTCAACCTTGAGCCGGTGAGAATCAAACTGCTGCGGACACTGAAAAATTGGGTTTGGTTTATCCACAGATGGGCTTATGTACAAGTATACAGGGTAATATTTTTA